TGCATAAACTTTTGGGATTGACTGTATAGCCAATACATCCTTAATGGTACCTCGGTGTCCTAAATATTATGTGTTGCAATTACAAGATTTAACTACTCGAGAGTGCATTATATTGCCATCTAGCGGTGAAATAGTACACTAAATCGCTGAAGATAAGCCTTCAAAAGAACTCAATCCTACTATTACCAGAGAGGAAATTTCTTCTCTGATTAAAATTAAATGTACAATGATTTCATTTTTGTTACATTGTAATGCATCTTTGACCGGCAAGATGCAAGTGCAAACATGAATTAACTCCGTGACATGTCAACAACATATGGCTATAGTAGGAGTTAACTCGTGACCGATTAAGATTAGAAATGTGTCAAAAGAACGTTATACTTCATCGAAAGTCAAGACTATTCAAATTTTTCAATATGTTTAAATATTAATACTGCATGATCTTATTACTCACCGATATCGAAGTGATGTGACTGCAAATTTCGGCGGAGACCCTTCAGTTTCTCAGTCAGCATCAATACACAGCACGTTACACATTAAAAACACATACGTAAATCTTGCAAGAGTTCATTGGGAATCAATTTCAATGTAAAGAGACAAGTTACATACAATACTGTTCACTTTGCACGTTTATTAATAATAATTTCAGCTTAAACACTCACGAATGACATTGCCCATGCGACTCCAAAGTAGACAAACGCGGGTAACTCTCAACGCGTGCGCCGTAGGAGTGAGAAAATATTGCCATGCGCCGTATGCTATTCGAATTCAAACAGAAAAAATATGTATCAGTGCACATAATATCTTTCATATTTTATTTATTTTAAGTTCTGTTTGTTATTTAAACGATGGTCACTCCAGAAAGAGAAGAAGAGGGTTCATCTTCGAGTGGTTCTTGGACTATGAAGCTACCAAAGGTAATGTCTAACTTTTGTGATACTGTGTGATCGTGCCACAAATGAGTTCCAAAATTATTGGCGTGAAATTAATATCTATAAAAAGAAATCGAGTATTATATTTAAAGACTTTGAGTATCATAATATATACCTAGATTTTTAGTTCAGTAATTAATTAATAAATAAAATTTAAACGACAAACACGGGCAACTCTCAACGCACGCGCTGTAAGAGTATGAAAATATTGCCATGCGCAGTACGCTATTCGAAATCTAACAGAAGAAATATACATATATTGTGTACAGTGCATACAATATCTTTTGTGTTCCTGTTAATTCTTTCATATTTTATTTATTTTAAGTTCTGTTTGTTATTTACATGATGTTCGCTCAAGAAAGAGAATGGATGTTTTTTTATTTGTGTCAAATACATAAAATACAAAAAGGTATTTGATTTCTTGCGTCTAACCACACAATTTTTGTCGAGTTTATAATTTCATATATTCATTAGTTTTATTATGTCACATAGTTTCTCTTTTTCATTAATTCCATTTGCTTCATCTTTCCTGCATTTTCCCGCTGTTATATGTAATAAAGAGAAATTACAGTCACTTCATTTAATATTTATTTCGAATGTCGTTAATAGGTGCAACTGACGAGTTCACTACCCAGTCGTTTTTTCTTACTCATCAAAATTCGATGGAAAGGCTACTGAAGAATTACAAAAGGTACCTTAGTAATTAAATTACATTTAACAATTTCTTTGATCTACTTTCACACATTTCCAAGTTCTATAAAGCTACTACGAGCTTTTAATATTCGGCTTATAATGCCCGCATCTCGGGAAATTGTCAGGTGTTTTCGGCATATCCGTTACTTCTCCAACTTGGAAAATAAGTTCCATGCCACCGAGAAGATGAAATAATTGATGGCAGTGGAAAATCCAGAAACCTTTAACAAAAAATTACGTTAAATCATAATCATAGTAAGATTTTTATAAATGTTAACGAATACCTGGATTGTCCGTATAAAATCTCAGTACAGCGTATCCGTTGTTTGGTATCGCCAACGTATCTTTGGCTGGCGGAGAATTTAAGTTTCTGTCTATTTGATTTGCTGCATCCAATTCGTGAAAAGCTTTCGCTGTCATTTTCGGCGCTCCGTTTACAATAGGCCCAAACGGTTGACCCGTTGCCAGAACATAGAACACGAATCCGTGTAAATGGAAGGGGTGTCGAACATGACTCGTATTGACTGCAGTTATACATTAATAATTATTAAAATTCAGGATTTAGTCCGTTTGTTTCGTTTCATTTAAATAATCTTTTCCCACTTACATTCGTCGACTAGTACAACTTCCACGACGGAATTCAATGGTAATTTGATTACATGAACGCACTCGCATACACTCTGTGAGCTACAATGCGGTGGTAAATTATCAGCGTTGCAAAGCAGATTTTGAGGAACATCTTCCATTTGAGATAGAGGCGGGCTCGGTAGACCAATTGAACTTATATTGCTCATCGTTTGGCTTACCGTCCACCCTGATTTTGATACTAATAAATTAAAAAGAAATATCAATCGTCGTTTCACACCAAACTTTGGTTGAAACTTAATTTTCTTCAATTCATATCTTACTTAGAAAATTCTTGTACTTATTAGGTGTGTAAAATTCTTCGTCTTCGAATCTGTGCAAGCCTATAGGAATAACTAATTTCACATCCGGTTCTTTCTGCAAAATTTTTGACTCGATTGGCAGAGCATGCTCCAAATTTTCAACGCAGCCCTTGTTGGGAGTTGACTTATAGCATCCATCGGTCGTTATGTCTAATGCCTATAATTATACAAATTAAATCACGAGCTATAAAATTGTAATTACTAGATCGCGGATTTTTATGCGAATCTTTCGTGAAGAAATAGAACCTAAATTTAAATTTCTTCTACCATTCAAAAAGAGTAATGCGTACTCAAGCGCATATTCCTGTATGTTACGTGCATGCTTTATATTTTCTGTATATCAAATTTTTGTATAAATGCATAAAATTCGCAGTCTATTCACAAACATCGTAAATAACTTACAACTTCGGAAGGCAGTGGATTATGCGGTTCCTCTGTACGTGGTGTACTTGATGCACCCACGTATTGCAATATAGCTAACTGCTGGACATGACTGCAATCATCCAACCCTCGAAGTTGTATCCAATAAGCGCCAGGTTCTTGATTAGTATTAATAACGAAGTCGTATCTTTCTCCTGAAATAAATATCACGATGCAAAATTGCACGAATGTGAGGAAACATAATTCGTTCACTTTATACCCGCGAGAGAAACAAGAGAATCGACGACGATGGGCTTTATTGGTTGACCATCAGAATTGATGACAGTGAGATTGTGTCCTTCGACAGTAAGTTCCCCGGGGCAGGTTGTACAGAATGAATTAATTAAGCGGAAACGGTAACGCTGATTAGCATCTACTGTAATCACTTCAAACGGTATGTTCGCTGTAGCACCACTGCTATCCTGAAATGAAAAGTACCTCACAATATTAAATAATCATTAGTTCTCAATGATAATTTTCAGTTAGAAAATCAATGATACTTACTATAAATCTACCTTTCCCGTTAATCAAATAGGATTCGGCATCAGTTCGCGTCTGACCAGCTCTGCGGCCTGGAATTCTACTAGTAGACTCTTCCGACAGCCAGTCATTGATAAATATCACATGATTCGCTAAATCGAAGTCGTAAAGAGAGGAAGAGGGATCATATTCGGATGGTTCTCGGACGATCATGCTACCAAAGATACCGTCTAATTTCTGCGGTCCTGTGTGAGCGTGCCAAAAATGAGTTCCAGGATTATTCGCGTGAAATTGATATCTATTCAAAAAAAATGGTCAAGCATTATATTTAAAGACTTTGAATATCATATATAGTATATACTTTACTTCTAATATATTGAATATATTCTTCAAATTTCAATATACTTATTTCTCTTATAAAACTTCGGAGTTTAGAATAGTATTTACCTGAATGTTGTTTGAGTTGGGATTGGGCATTGAGTTAAGAAAGGGACTCCGTCGTAATGCGGAGAACCATTCTGAAATAATCCATGCCAATGAATCGTTACCGAATCTGACTTTAATAGATTCGTTACGTCGACCACAACGTAATCTCCTTTGCAGACTTGTATACTCGGTCCGGGTATCATTCTGTTCACAGTCAGAGCCATGCGCTGTGTTCCATCAGCGGGAACGCATTGACATTCGGGGCATAGAGAGTTAGTAGCGTTCGGCATGCACAAATCACATGCTCTGAAAAAAATTGAAAAATAGATATATTACTTGGTATAAAATAATTGAGAATTCTTATTCTTATGAGTAAACTGCGAATTTTATTCATTTATAAGAAAGTTACAGAATGCAATGTCTAAAACTATAAAGAATATTCCAAATACGTATTGCAAAATTAAAATGATAAAAGAAACTTTATTTCAATTTACTTACTTGCCATTAACGGGATAACGTTCTACTGTAAATTTGTAATAGCATGTCTTCGTCTGCCCTGCTACACACGTTCGAGCACACTCGAGAGAATTTGATAAGAAACTATTCGCACGAAGTTCATCGTTCATGCAATTTTCTTTATTAATCGGTACCATGCCACTGAGTCCGGGCATGTAACCCGCGACAATACATGCTTCAGCATTTTGAATCTCAACTAAAAACAAAAAAGCGTGCACGTTAAGTTGTACTTTAAAGTCTTTCGATCGATTGACAATTAAAAAATTCGGACCAGTAAGAAAGAGAATAGAAAGTAGAACCGTTCCACCGATGGTATTCATTGTGATACATATAGAAAAGAGATCGCCTGTCAACTTACGTATTACTTTATATATCAATCGTATTCATTGTTTATATATGTAGTGAAATGAACATTTTAGATAACATTAATCTTACTTGAATATGTAATCATTTCCGTCGATTGTAAGATATTATCTCTTTAATTAATGATTGATATACATATTGATTAAGATCGTGAAGGATTTAAAAAAATGACTTGCTTGTTTAAAAATAAAAGTATTAGGAATATATTACAAACAATACATTATTTGAAAAAGAAAATTGGAAAGACGTACTTGAACTTAACTTCAACTAAGATTTAATTTAATTTGATTTAAAATAAGACTTATGATTAAGCTGATTTATCACGCTCTCCTACATTGTAAGAATACCAATAGATTCTTGATCAACAGAACTTTCGAGCTAGCAAAGCACATAATCTAACATAGAAATCATTAATGTGTGTAGAATACTTACCTGTGTATGTTTCGGCGCAAATTGTGATACGAGCCAAAAAACTTCCATTATCTCCTGGGGCACGCGAAATAATTGTAAACACCGGAAAATTTATTTAATTTCAGTTTTCATTTTCGAGATAACATAATCGTCAACATTTTACAGATTTCTCATTCAATTAACAAGGATTGACATTCTTGATTGGAAAATTAATTGATATAATTCTCTGCAATGTTGCAATTCGAAAGATTTGTTTTCGTATGTCATTCAATTTAATAATGATAAAAGTGAGATTTAATCAGAAATAATAATGCTAACGAGTTTTTTATATCTTAACATTATTCTATGTTAACACGAGATAAGTTACGTCACGTAAGTTATGTAAAAGGGAAAGTACACTTGTTTAGTTGTTTTGCAGAAGTTTAATTGATAAGTAGCATTAGTGAATAGATTGGACGATTACTTTTTACTAAGAAACGTTGAATGAACGCAAATATGATTTTTATCTTCGGGATAAAAACCATACTTATCTTTGAGATAAAAACCATATTTCTATAATTAGTGCGTTTACCAGATTTAATGGAAACTCCCGAATTATAATACAACACTTATATAAGCTTAAATGTTTCTTTATTGAACAGCAGAATTGGCATTGATTTGAGATTTCAGATGTATTATTTGCTCGGCGTGGTACACTTTCCAACAAATAAGGAAGTCCCTGGTAACTTTAAATAATGTGTAGTAATTGATCACAAGGAGCCATGTTATTGATAATACTTGATACCAGTCGTTTGTACGTAATAAAATAAATAATTGCACACAGATGAGAAGAAGCTGCAGGCCCAATAAATAAGAGAAAAACAACGCAGGGTTTCTGAATAGAATCTGTAAAAAACAATCCAAATGTTTAGATCGGAGGGGCTTCCGTATATATTTATTTTCTTTTCATTACGTACATAAAACCTGTAATGGTTTGAATTTCCTGGCTCCGCTGCAGTACATAAACCCTCTGAACGATAAATTTCCCTGTTATGTCTGACGACTGAACCATCAGGCCACAGTACCGATTCGTTCCAAGCTTGAGCATACATGTGACTGTTACGATTTTCAATTTTGACCCATTCTCCGAGATGTAACGCTGCTCTGTGTAAAACATCGCAGTACCTAAACACAATTACGATATTCATCAAATTAGAAATAAATTTCTTAATGTACAATCATCGAGTGATAGAACGTTCGCAGAATTGAACGTAATCTTATTGTACGTAAAACAGTTGTGTAAATAATACACACTTGACAGGATAAGCATGTGAGAAGTGGGCACTTATTCTTGCAAGCCAAAACATGATAACGTGTTGTACGACCCATGAAACATTGAAGTACAAGTGTTGAGGTACGAATATGATGGGTGCAATGCCGCAAACATATGCGCTGCTGGACGATGCGAACAAAGCTCGTTTCAAACGGCGATTGAAATCGGACCTTAGTGTTGAAACCTCTGCTCTAATCGCAGATGCGTTCAAAGAGCAATTGTGCAAAGGTTTGTCTGTAAACAAAATACGTTGAATTTAATTGCAATAAAAAATTGTAGTCATTCTAAGTACGAATTATGTACCAATTAAGAGTTTTGTCTTCTTCTCGTCTTTACCACACGAAGATGTTGATATGTCAAAGAATGGTGCTGCGCTTACACCAAACATCACAAAATACACAGACAAACTTCTGAAACAAAGTAGACATAATAAGAAATTCTGACATATATGTATGAACGTGAACAAGTATGATTTAATGGAGATATACAAACGGATAACACAAGTAGAAAATCTTCATTGAGTTGTGTCTTTCAGCCATGTGATAGATGCACCAACATAATATGTTCATGACAATAGTTAACAGACCGATCCTGGAAAATAATGATACGTATAATTTTTATGAAACATAACTTCATTATCGTTTATATAATAAGTAATGAAAGGTACCTCATTATTTTTTGAGCAGCTGACAACCAACGAATCGGTGATGAAACGTTAATGATTCTACGTAACAGGGAGTAAATAAATTGCCTTGCTACCATAGTTATAATAAATATGAGTAAATAAGGATCTATTAAGTAGAAATTCTGAAAAGTTATAGCATTATAAATGAAAGCTGAACACATATACATATCGAAGCAATGCTTCGTACTACGTACCATACTATAATTATTATAAGAATGAGGTAGCCACCAAACAGTTCTGTATAAATTAACCATTTGTAAGAAAGCTGCAATAATTGACACAACCATGGATAAAGCTTCAAACATTAAGTGACTTTCCACTGGTACTGCTGGTATAGGTACATGTTTTGGAACCAACGTCTTTATTCCGCAGAGCTCCTCAGACTTTTTATCATCAGCACTGCTCCCAGCTGTTCTTTCTCCACTATTGCTTCGTATACCAATATTTGCAGACGATGATAAACCAGTTTGAAACTTGGTCTGTCCATTTCTACCAGCAGCGTTACGTCTTCCACCAGGCATAGCGAATAATTTTACATTCCAAGTACTCTTCTCAGACAGTTTTGAGTTATAACTTTCATACACTTGCGATTTAATAAATCGTTCTTTAAGTATATCGTAAAGAGATGAAATTTCAGCATAATTAAAACTGGGTTTCATTTGAGCCAAACTCTATTTAAGTACACCGAAGTAATATGTCGAAATAGATGAAATCAGAAGCATATTCAAACCAATAAAAACGAGAATATTTCAATCACATTAACTTTATTAGAATACAATGTTTATATTTTGTTTCATGCGTTCTCTGTGCGTAAACTTTACACATAATAGTTGGAGAACTCGCTGCAACATCAGTTAGCATTACTAGCATCAGTAATCATTATCTTCTAATAATTTATAATCATATACACGAAATGCAATATCGGACGTTTCAAAATTTATTATATATTTATTAATTTGGTATCACGTTGTGCAGGAATGAATTTGTTAAATATATTAGAAATTTCACAAAGCGGATGGCACGATTGGGCACGATGCATTGCTGAAAGCGTTTAGTTATGATAAAGATCTTTGAGATGTCGCCACTGCTGCCGTTTCGTAGTGATTCATTAAAAGTGAATATAATATTCGATAATTAAAATTATTCTTACTGTTTGCATAACTGACTACGTGAAGGATGACGTGGACAGGATGTTTAAGGATACAAAGTAAGATACATTTATAAAACAGAATTACGTTTATTAATTTACTTTCGATGATTACATGAAATTGTATAGAACGTATGTTTATTCGTCTTTATTTGACATCGTACAATGTACACACATGAGTTATTTGGAGTAAATATTTGTATACCCTCGTAAGTTTAGTATACAAAATATTTACTCTAATTATAATAATGCACTTATTCATTAATCCAGCAATTCGGGATAGAAACAGACCTATTAGACTGTACCAGACCATCTGTGACTGTATCTATTATTATTTTTATTAGTCTAGGATCTACAGTTTTCAATAATGGTTCGATTGATTATGTTAAAAGTCGTCAAAATGATTCACCTAAAATCCAATCAAATTCAGAAAGAGTAAATTCAAAACTTTTCATATACAGACGTCTCGTCTTTCTATTAGCTACTTTATTACATTTCCTTTCATCATCATTATTAAAGAACGTCTCAACTATTAAACTATTATGCACTACTTGAAGATAACAGAATTTAAAATTAAATACAATCACCACTAGCTTCACATAGTGTATGATGCATTTATCTCGAAAACGAAGGCATACGTTTAATACATCTAAATGTAAAATGTGCAATGCTACTTTTTCATACGAGTACGTGACACTATTTAAATTTACATTAATTTTTTATTTCTGTATTGAGAATCTTCAGGACTAGCCTGTATTACCGATAGATTAACTTTCTCGTTTTATTTGTAATAAAGTCTGTAATCAATGTATAAAATACTTATCGCGCGCGTGGTCGACGCGCGACTGATCCACGCGACCGTGCTGCAGCAGCTGCAACCGCGGTGTGTGCACGTCCCGATCTCTACGCATGACGCCACGCGCAGACGCGTTCGTCGCTCATGCCGCCACTCTACTTACACAGTTGCGCCAGAGTAATGGCGTCTGCAACCACGCGCTTACGCCGTCCTCGCCGGCTTCTATCTCCACGCCTCTGCCTCGCCTCCGCCTCCGCCTCCACCGCCACCGCCTCTGTTCTCTCGGCTCGTGGGTAAGTGCCCTCACACTCTTCGACTTCAATTCAGTCTGCACTCGCATGTTCACGCGGATTGTTGGCACGCTCGCTCACAACCGTCGCTCCCTGCGTCACGAACCTAACCCCCTAATCGGACACCTAACCGCGTACCGTGACCGCGTCTCATCTGTGGTGTCAACGTTAGTTCTTCTCGGACCCTCTTCGGTGCTCGCGGTATTAAATTTCTAGGTTAGGTTAGGTTAGACACTTCGTGGCGGGATTTTAAATTCGAATACATTTCGCGCGCCTGACAATTGTTGACCGAGACGCAATTACCGTGTGACGTGCAAACTGTACGCTCGCATTATTTTACTCGAAACACGTTTCCAATACGTAATGAGACAGTTTTAAATCAGTTTGTAAGTGTGGCAGTCGTTTGAATTTCAATACTCACCGCGCGCCAAATTCTGACAATTATATTATTCAGTTCTCTTCGTGTTTTAGTACGCGATATTCAAATCGCGACGGTCATCGTTTAGAGATCATGGTGTTACGTGCGAAGCTCTTGATGACTATACTATGACTGTACGCTTCGTTTCACGAAACTCGAAAAGTTTTCAAAGTTTTTAATATCGTAAGTGCAACGGTGATTTCACTTTAGATCATTTTCGCGGGCTTCACTCCGCCGGAACGAATACACATAATATGAAACAGTTGGTCATCCTACACGTTCTACACGCTACTCGACGATTCAATATTTCGTCGGTTTAAACAGAATTCTCTTTGTCATTGAAATTTCCGGACGGATTCGTCGCGTGAATATATCAGACCGAGAAAAAATTGGCAAAAGAAAATATATTTTTCACAGATAAAATCGTACACACGTTTCACACACCTCACACAATCATTGCGAGTTTAGCGTTTAATTTTCAACCGATCCGGTTGAATTTTAGATGGATAATTCAGCGTATGTGCCGAATCATCACCTACCGCCGCCTAGTTTTTTCGTGTTCTCGCAACAGCCCCACGCCGGGTTGCCAGAGGCGTTCAGAATGCAAAGACCGTTCAATCCACAAGTTAGTCTCCCTGTTATCCTTATTTGATCATCTAAGCTTCTGTTCGATTGCTCTTTCTCCGCTTTTTTAACGCTTCAAGCTGAAAACGTAGGCTGTCTACGCTTACCCTGCTAAGTTTCATTTTATCTCTACTAAAAAGGGAATCCTACTTCTCTTTTCCGTTGCATTACTTAACTTTAATAAAGTCTTACTGTCGTAAAAACGTTGGAATAAATAAAGTAGAATCTATTAGAATAATGATTTTTTACATAAATTTACTTTCGCATATCGCATCTGTGCCTAGTGTATAAGTAGAGCTTCCTATTTCGACAGTCTATTTTTAGCATGATTACAGATGTATGGTGATTAAAATACATAGCATTCTGACAGAAAATCGTTATGTAAATGTAATATAAATAAATGACATATTAATTCCTAAGTTAAGCACCTATAATTGCAGTGAGCTCTGAGCCGTGTTTGATAATAGTCCAAATTATCGTAAAATACAGAAATCTTCAAACTTAATTTTCTCGAAAATGAAATCAAACTTTTATTCTCTACTTCCTGCATAGGAGTTGAAAAAAGTATACTTACCGCAGAAATGCAGAGTTTCATGTTCGCAAGTAGAAGATATAAAATTTGTATTGAGTAATTTTCAGAATCAGTTTCGAATCCTAAATAGTATACCTACATGGTTGTTTGTGCATGAATGTAGTGTAGAATTTTATTTATTGTATACATGTTAGCTTAGTATAATTGTTGTCATAGTTATTTTACTCCGGTGTGGATATAATTAATTAAAAAGGTATGTCGGTTGCCGTAAGTACTGACCATATGTATATTGTATTAATAATATTTTGAGAAACTTTTTGTGATTATCGTTGTCTCGGTATATTGTATGTATTAAGTCCTTATAAGGAATCAAATTTTTATACCTTGAACTGGTTACTTTCTAATACTGAAAGGATCGTATTGTATTAAAATACTCAGAAGCTAACTGGAACTTGTGTTTCCTCTTAGTATGCAAAAGGAAGCACGTGACAATTTCATCAAATGATGAGCCGAAATATTGCCAGAAACAGGATGAAGATTGATTTAAAAATATGTGAAAATTGCATTGTTCTGAACCGATTAATTTCCAATGAAATTATTCGATTTTTTTTGTTGGCCAATCATTCGTCCAGAAAGGTACATCGAAGCTTGCATTTTTATTCGAGACACGAATATTTTTATCCCAATTCGAATTCGTTTCAATATTTCTATGTGATATGTGTTTGTAAATAATTGTCGCGTATAAATCGATAAACAATAATTGCCGTCGCGTCGGCACAGAGCGTGCCCGAAAGAATCTGACAATTTTTCGAACCGTTCGCGATTAAAGTAATAATGAATACTTAACAAATCACTCTGATTGAAAGTAGCTGAAGCCACAAATCCGTACGTTCGTTTCCTCTTATAAAAGAATAATAAACAGTGATCGTTGACCGTGTAACTATACTAATTCCTCGTGTAATTATCGGCTCGATTAAACGTTTAATTTTTAACCACGGACATTATCATGCGATCTCTCTTTCGGTCCCTTCTGTGTTCTTCATGGGAAAAGGAACTTCGTTAATTTCCCTCGAAATTTCAAATGCAGAAAAAAAGTAACACGTCATGAATAATAATATATGTATAACAAAGCATCGGTATGCATGTAATAAGATTAATTAAAATTGCATGTGCAACGTGTTAATCAAAATTGATGCACGCGGCACGTAAGTAATTAATAATCAGTTTTTAATTAATTGGTCAACAGTGGATAACAATTAGGAGATTTCGAAGGTATCCAATGCTGTTGAAAAATTTAGGATTTCACCATGTTGAACATAGTAATCATTTTGATCGGTCGAATCTTTCTTCATGATATTAGAAAACTGGTGACGAAACATTTAATGCTCATCAGAAATCGTCGATACCTGTCATTTTCTAACTGGAGATGGGAATATCACTGAATGAATGAAAAGTTATCAAGCGTTTCATTATCGAAAACAAGTATCACTGATACTCTGATTACATTTTACCATTGTTCTCTCATTACAAACATTATATTATATTTGTTGCAAAACTTGATTTATCCATTGTGGCATATTCACTATGCCGGGGCTTAATAGACTCGTCAATCATCGTTCCGAAATTCAATGATACATTCAGTGACGATGTACACATGCACCCACGTGCATATGTATGTATGATTGCGTGTATGTGTATGTAGATTCGATATATGAGGGAAACGGGTAGGGGAAGCACTGCGTTTTGACGGATTATTATTATAACGTAGGGGTGGTTTCACGTTATTAACAGTATAATACGGTATTATAAGCTTGAATTCATCGGAACACTCCCTTGTATTGTCAATCAGATATCCAGGTATTTTATCAAATTTCCAAAAATTTTTAGTAAAACCTCAAAAGTATACATTTTTTATCGCGAGGGATAAAAATAACAGAATAAAATGAAAC